ATTAAATGTTTCATTGCAAGGAGGTAATCAAACATTAAAATCTCTGTTAACAGGATATGAAGCAACGAATAAAGATTTGTGTTTAAAGTTTCCAGTAAAATGAGAAAATATTCAGGATATAATGGTAAATTTAAAAAGTATGATCCAAACAATATAAGCACAATTCAACAATTAGATACACATCCACAAACACACTTTAGTTTTTATTTTATTTTTTCCTAAGTTTTATTTTTTTAGATATTTATTTTTGTGGGGTGCAGTGTGTTGTTTCAATACTTGCATATACTTCACAATGATTCACTTAGGGTAGATAGTATAGTTTTGTACCCTTTAGTCCACCACTTTGCCTCTGCCCCACACCCCTCCCCTTCTGGCCTGGAGTAACTATTATTCCACTTTCCACTTCTTTGCGGACCATTTATTTTTACACATAGATTCCACATATGAGTGATATGGTGAGTTTTTCTTTCTGTGGCTGACTTAATTCACTTAACCTGATGGTTCCATCCATTTTCCTGCAAATAATAGGCTACCACCTTTTTTTATAGCTAAATAGTACTATATTCTGTATATATATCACAGTTTTTTAAAATCCATTTATTTGTTGGTAGGCATTTAGGTTGATTACATCTCTTAGCTATTGTAAATAGCATTATGATGAATGTGGGAGTGCAGGTGTCTTTTTAATATATTGATTTCATTCCCTTTAGGTATATACCCAGTAGTGAGATAGCTGGGTTGTAGGGTAGATCTATTTTTAGTTCCCTGAGAAACCTCCATATTGTTTTCCAGTGTCTGTACCAATTTCCACTCCCACCAGCAGTGTAGGAGAGGTCCTTTTTCTCTGCATCCTTGCCAGCGTTTGTTATTTTTTGTCTTGTCCGTAATAGCCATTCTACTGGAGTGAGATGATATCTCATTGTGGCTTTAATTTGCATTTCCCTTATGATTAGGGATGTTGAACATTTTGTCATATGCCTGTTGGCCATTTGTATGTCTTCTTTTGAGAAGCGTCTATTCAGGCTCTTTGCCCACTTTTTAATTGGGCCTTTTATTTCTTTTTTCTTTTTTTTTTTTTTACTTTTGAGTTATTTAAGTTCCTTATATGTTCTGAATATTAGTCCCTTGCATGATGTGTAGTTTGCAAACACCTCCCATTCTGTTGCCTGTCTCTTCACTTTGCTCCTAGTGTCCATTGTGGTGCAGAAGCATTTTAGTTTGACGTAGTCCCTTTTGTGTATTTCTACTTTAGTTGTCGGTGCCTTTGTAATACTGTTCAGAAAGGTGCTGCCTATCCCGTTTCATGGAGCATTTCCTCTATATTTTCTTCTAGTAGTTTTCATAGTTTTGGTTCCATCCATTTCTTAAGGTTAGCTCTTTGATCCATTTGGAGTTGATTTTTATGTACAATAGGGGTCTAGTTTCAATCTTCTGAATGTGATATCCAGATTTTCCAACATCATTTATTGAAGATGCTGTCCTTTCCCCATTGTATATGCTCGGCACCTTTGTCAAAAATCAGCTGGCTGTAAGTGTGTGGGTTTGTTTCTGGGATCTTTGTTTTGTTCCGTTGGTCTATTTTTCTATTTCTGTGACAGTACCATGCTGTTTTGGTTACCATAGCTTTATAGTATTTTGAAGTCAGGAAGTGTGATGAGTCCAAATTTGTTCTTTTTATTCAAGAGTGCTTTAGCTATATAGGGTATTTTGTGGTCCCATACAATTTTTTTAAAGTTTATTTATTCATTAATATTATTATTTTTTTTTATATTCCAAGATGTTGTTGCATTGCAGTTGGGGGTGGGGAGGGGAGAGAGGAAGGGGGAAGGAAATAGAATGGGAAAAGGAGAAAGGAGGGGGGGCATAGTTGAGGCCCATGGCAACCCCCTCATTACTGCAGGGGAGACCAGGGGGCTTCCAACAGGGGCTCGGTCATTGCTGGTCTGGATGCAGATGTCAGGGTTTGTGCCTGAAGCCCTCGCCCCCCTATTGACCTGGCTCAGGAGCCTGGGATATTTCCAGTGATGGCTCGGTGGTCATCACTGGGCTGATTGCAGGTATTGGGGTGGGGAGGGCATGTGCCTGAAGACCTCGGTCCCCCTCTGCCCTGGCTCGGGAGCTAGGTTGCTTCCTGCATCAGCTTAGTGGTCATTGCTTGGCTGGGTGGATGTCAAGGGGCATGGCTCAGACCCCTGGCCCTCCCCCGTCCCTGGCTTGGGAGCTCAAGGAACTTCTGGTCCTTCTAGGTTTTGTACGTGTTGTTTGACAATGTGAGACATTTACTAGTTAATATCAAACTTTGTTTCTGGTCTGTGGGCATTTTGTTTTTTCCTTCAATTCTGTGTTGGATTCTTCACTGTTCCCACCACTTAAACTCTGAACTGGAATTAATTCATTGTCCTTTGGTTACTTCTAAAATGGTGGAACTTCCTGTGGGGACCAGCATGTGAATCCTGTAGTTGAGCTAAATTGCTGCTTTACTGCCAATTCCCTGGGGAAGGCTTTTTGTGCAGCTCAGGTTTTATCATTGACCTTGCAAGCACTTCTAGGTTTTGTGAAGTCTGGTACACCAAAGTTTAGTGGAAACTCTGTTCTGGGCCTGAGTCTTTTCAGCAAACTGCACCCCCTGCAGATCCGTATTCCTGACCAATCTCCACTGGGTGGTCCTGTGCTGACTTGGGGGCAGATCAACTGTCCATGCTGTGCCCTAATGTTTCCCAGGTGGACCCATCTCCTCCACCATACACACTCCAAACACTTCCTATTGGACAGGCTGTGTGCTAGTCCCTTGTGATGACTCATCAGCCTCTATGTGGCTCCTTTTTTCAATTGTTGTGGATCCTCTCTCCTGTGTGGGTCCACGGGAGCCCTGTAAGTGGTCTTGCTGGCCTGAGGGCCACCAAGACCATCTTGTCCCCTGCAGCCTCCAGGCAACTTCATATGAAGGGCACAACTGTGGCTTTTGCCAGCTCTTGCTCCTTGCACTCACCAGTGGCCGGGATTTGAAATGGTGGGATGGATCCTTTCTCTCTCTCATCGTGGCTTCTCCTGCCTTCATGAACTCCATAGGTCTCTTCTCTTCTTCCCCTGAGCTCTTTTGGCCCCAGCTTAGCTGTCCTTGCTTTTTAATAGATGTCAGTTGGTTGATTTGTGGAAGAGAGTAATGCTGAGGTCTGTCTATTCCACCATCTCGACCAGAAGCCCTCTCTTGACTGGAAGCCGTCTATTTCTAGTTTATCTTTCTTGATTCCAATTTAAGCATGGCTGCTGAATAAGTTTTGTCTAAATTTCAGTCTTTATCTTTTCAAAATCATGATAAGTTAATTTCAATGGAACCAAATCACACATAGAAAAGTTTTTAAAGTGTAAAATTTATTTTCTGAAAATCAGAAGGAAATTGTTTTATAATTGAATATGCTAATTACCCTGAAATCATCATCATGCATTGTATACATGTAGCAAAATGTAACTCTTTAACCCATGAGTATGTACAACCAATAAGCTTCAATTACTAAAATAGAATTTTTTAAAAAAATTAAAAGAAGTGTAAAAATTACTTTCGAAAACAGCTGCTATGAATATCCCCATTTTATCGTTCAGGAAGCTGAGGCACAGAGAGGTGCCTGGATAAAGATCAACACAGCCAGTAGGTGGCTTTTTGGGGATTCAACACTGAGCAGTAAGGCTTGAGAGCCAATAGTCCTGAATTCAGTCTTTTATTGCCCTTTTTAAAATTATAGGTATGCAAATATCTAATGCTAATCAAGATGATGTCAAGTAGAGTATGATCAAATAAGTTTAGAAAATCAGAAATATGAGCATACAGCTAACACTTTCCTTTCAAAGGAAAGGATGTGAAATTGTATGGCAGTCAGTAGAAAGGAGTCATGCAGTACCTGATACCTGAATCCCCAAAAATGTACTAGCTTGTTCAGATAAAATATTAAAAATCTAAGGGAAGTGTGATACTCTATCCTACACATAGAGAGAAGCACTCCCTGGTAAAACGTTTTTCTATGGCCTAATGACAAAACTATTTTGGTTATCATCAGGAATAAAATAAATCTAATTAAAAAAGTAATTGTTATATTACATGCTAATATGACTTATTCTATAAAAATTTCCATATAAATTTGAGTTACTAAATTTCAAAAAAGGGAGAGGAAGGGGCAATATCACAGTAAAGAGCAGCTAGACTGATGAATTACAAAGAAATGCTAGAAACAGAATATTTCTCTATTTTATAATACAGATTGAGAGTAGATAGTTTTAGAGTATGTAAAATATTCAAAGAATGGGGGTGAGACCACAGATATCTTCAAAGGATCAACTTGAACCACATTGAGGAAACTAAGAGAGGAAAAATGATAGAAAGTTTTTGGATATCATTAAGTTGTGAGAAACTGTGGGAATGGATGCTATTTAGAAGCTTTAACAGAATTCTAGCTAGACAGCGTGAAATAAAAATATGTCAAAAAATACAGGAGGTCACTGGAAAACATATCATGAGGGTTTCTTCAGCCTGTTCAGAAGACATTTATTTTAGTAGCACCATCCCAAGTTTCAAGGTTACAGATTTAAAAGTCCTTCAGTTTACTGTACAAGATATGCAGACAATTCTGTTAATTGAAATTTACAAATTCATGTCATCTTACTGAAAGTTAGATACAATGAGCAAAGGACAATATCTGTGGTATATCTGCTTAACCTGAACCACAGGAGAGTCTATTGGGAGGAAACACAGTAGCCAAGACAATCACATAGTAGTGGAGATATGTTTGTAATGAGGTATATTTATCAAGCTAAAAGTCACCTAAGGCACATATCTCCTAAGCAGTTTTCCTGAGAGAGAAAATGTAATCAATGCTACTTAAAACTTTAAGTATTATAAATGAAATATATAGAGATTCAGGATTCTAGAAAAAGGGCATATGTTTGTTGTTTTGTTTATTTTTGAATTCATAAGTCATGGAAACTTGTTAAGGATCAGGTGGGTTGTTTTAGACTTTGTGAGAAGTCAAAACCTGAAGGAACCTTTCCCTGATTCTCTTGGTTCTTATGCCATAGATCATTGGGTTCACCATGGGTGGAACAAGGAGGTAGATGTTTGCCACAAAGATGTGAATATGAGGAGCCACATTGCGCCCAAACCTATGAGTAAGGAAGGAGAAAAAGGCTGGAGTATAGGCCACTAAGATCACACACACGTGGGATCCACACGTGCCCAGGGTCTTGAGCTGAGCAGCCTTGGATGGCAGGTGGAAGACCGTGTAAAGGATGACAACATAGGAGGATATGATTAATAAGAAATCTAACCCCCCGGTCAGGAAGGCAGCAGTTAGGCTGTATATTCTGCAGATCCTGGTTTCTGCACAAGCAAGCTTAATCAGAGCCATGAATTCACAGTACGTGTGAGGGATGACATTAGTTCTGCAGTAGGGAAGCCACCGGAGCATGAATGGCTGAGGACTGAAAAGCAGAGCCCCGCGAATGACAATAGCTAGTCCCAAATTCTTGATGACTCTGTGTGTCAGGAGAGTGGAATGTCTCAGAGGATTGCAGATGGCCACATAGCGATCAAAGGCCATGGCCAGGATGAACCCCGAGGCCATGCTGCATAGTGAATGAATGAGAAATACTTGCACAAGGCAGGCTTCAAAGTAGATCTTCCTGTCATGGAACCAAAAAATGCTGAGGATTTTAGGCATAGCAGTAGTGGAGATGATCAGGTCAGCCACAGAGAGCATACAGAGGAATAAGTACATGGGCTCATGCAGGTTGGAATCCGTTTTGATAATAAACAGAATAGAGAAATTTCCCAGGAGAGCGCTCAGATAAACAAGGCAGAAGGGCACTGATATCCATGTGTGGATGGCCTCCATTCCTGGGATGCCAAGGAGAAGAAAGGTTCTGGGATGGAGACTGGTATTATTTGACAATGACATGTTGAGAAATACTGACTGTGTTCACCTGTGGAACGGAAAGGATTCTTTTCTTTCAATTTCACCTGTCATTCTTATACTGATGTCTTCTTTATTTGCTTGTTTATTTAAAATGCTTGACTCTTTTTTTTACCCTAAATATAAATAACGAATAAGACCTAATCTCTAACCTTAGATGCTTATTCTAATAGGGGAGCAACTGATGCAAACCATTAATTAAATTCTCACGTGATTATTGCAGTGAAAGTTATATGAATAAGCGGCACACATGACTTAATATATGGAGATATTTTTTCCACTTGTTTGAGTCAAAGAATGCATAGACAGATGCTTAAACGTGATTCTGCAGCATCCCGGACCTTTAAAATAAAAAGAAAGTATAAATAAAGTAAAGTCCCAATCAGAAGAAATCAGTGGCGTCACTGAAAAGATAAAAGAATTGTTTTTGTTTGTATGTGGGAGAAATTAAAGTAGCTGACTTTTAAAAATTTCTTTTCTTGAATTTTTTTGACAAACAAAAATTTTATATCTTTATTACGTGTAACATGTTCTTTTGAAATATGTATATATTTATAGGATAGCTAAATGAACTAATTAACATATGCATTACTTCACATACTTATCATTATTTTTGTGGTGAGAACACTTAAAATACACTATCAACAATTTTCAAAAATAAAATTCATTCTTTCAATTATCGTCATGATTTTGTACATTAAATCTCTTGAACTTATTTTATATTCTTTCACTCTCTCCCACCTCCCCGCAAGTCCTGAGAACCACCATTCTATTTTCTATATGTTCAACTTTGCTTCTGCATATAAGTGATATCATGTGGATTTGTCTTTTTTTTGTTTATGATTGCCTCTGTGTATTATAAAACAGATAGGTATGGCCATCATGGTATACTGTTAATTGGTAAGTGATAGTTCCTGTGTATTATGCATACCTTGATTGCTTCAAAAAAAAGATCCTTTATATACAAAGATACTTTAAAAATTTCATGGAAGGATTCTTATTTTCTTTCAATTCCATTTTCCACCAAATTTTTGATGTACTCTATTACACTGGTGTAGTACAAAGTCTGAAACATTACAAGCCAATCTGTTAGCAGAAGTTGGGAGGTGCACATCAAGGGAGATGGAAACAGAAGATCACTCATTTAAATTAAAAAAAAACATTGTTTTATAACAAACAAGGATTGTTTTCTGATTAAAAAATGAATGCATTAGTGGTATCCCCCAAATTTGGATAGTTTTGTTTCATTTTCCTTCATTTCAAAATACTTTCTAAGGTGCTTTTTTATTTTTTTGATCCATAAGCTTTTTAGACCTGGGTTGTTTAGTTTTCAGACATTTGGATAATTTTCAAAGGAAAATGATGTTGCATTGGAATTATTATAGCAAAATTCTAACATTAAATGCATCATCCCAATTTAGAATTTATTTTTCCATAACTGCTTATAAAATAAATTGAAATGACAATGATACTGTAGAATAAGAAGGTTATTTCCTAAATTATGCTTTAATGATCACCATGCCACAATTAGCATGTATTAATAAATAATTTTAGTTGCATCTGATCTAGACTCTTTCCCAAAGGAATGAGAGCTATAAAAGTAACAGCAAAAGTCTCTAAAAAATGTTTCTTACATCTTTCTCAAACTAAGCAGAAAATCAGGGGCCGTATTCTGATATCAGGTAACTATTAACTATTTTTTGGACTAAGTGATAATCATTCTCTCTCAATTAATATCCCATTTCTCCTCTAAACAGCTTCTCTTTTTTCCATCTTTTTCATCCACCAAAACTTTTATACTGCAATGTTCTAGAGGTTACAGTAGGCTTTTCAAAATTCAACAATATGTGGCTAAGTTCTGCCATGCTCAGAAATCTCACCATTAACTGAGGAAAGTTTAAAGACCAGATATACAAAAACAATGCTGGCACATTGTACCTTTATATATATGTATATATGCATATATACATGTATATGTGTGTGTGTGTGTGTGTGTGTGTGTGTGTGTGTGTGTATAAACAAGGAAAGACAGATGTAGATTAAATAGAGAGCCTACAAAAATAAGAAGTACAGATGCTATTACTAACTATTCTAGAATGACCAAAGAGGTGATTGACCAGAAAAGTCCACCTTTGTCAGTAAATGTATAACAGATGAATAACTTCTCAGAGCTGTGCTCTTCAATGCCTAGTTCAGGTGGAGGTAAAAGAGTTTAAGAGAGTTATAAAGCCTAAAGGATGACATGGGAGAAGAAATAAACATATCATTTAATTTTGGAGTTGGCAACTATTGAGCATGGGTAGAATTTTCTCATTTAAAAATGAATGTCTTAAGGTAGAAGTTTACATTAAGTATTTGAGATTTTTCTTATTTTTAATATAGGTGTTACAAGTACAAATTTTCCTCTAAGCACTGCGTGAGTCATGCATCCTATAAATTTTGATATGCTGTACTTTGATTGTTATCTCAAAGTATTCTCTAATGTCCCTGTGATTTTTCTTTTTAACCATTGTTTAATTAGGAGAGTGCTGTTTAATTTCCACTTATTTGTGAATATTTTAACTTTCCTTCTATTATTGTAGTCAGAGAACATATTTTCTATGACCTTAGTCTTTTTAAATGTGTAAAGGCTTGTTTTGTGGGAAAAAAAAATCTTCAAAAAACACACACACACAAAAAAAACCCCTACATTTTACATTCTGTTATGATGATTATGCCAACTATCCTGATTTGATCGTCACATATTGTGTATGAATACTGATAGTCAACTCTGTACCCCATGTATAATCAATTAAGTTTCAATAAAAAAAATAAAAAAGAATAAAATAAAAATAAGTAATCTAAAATTATTCATGTTAAAATTGGAATTTGGTCTAACATATACAGTTGAAAATTGATTTTGAATAATGGCTTTACTTCAGCAAATAAAATAGAAATGAAGAAAGTAGACAATTAGTATGTAAAGTGTAAGTAAAGCACACCTATGATTTTGCTATTAAATTTGCTCTTTAGAATAGCTCTTAGGGGCCGGCCCGGTGGTGCACTGCTACAGTGCGCCGCTTGGGAGAGCAGTGGCGCTCCCGCCGAGGGTTCGGATCCCACATACAGACCGGCCGCTCACTGGCTGAGCGAGGTGTGGACACAACACCGAAGGTTGCGATCCCGTTGCTGGTCCCAGTCCGGTAGAGGCGCGACACTAAGGGTTGCGATCAGTTGCCGGTCACAAAAAAAGACAAAAAGGAAAAAGAAAAAAGAAAAAAAGAATAGCTCTTAAAATGACAGATTAAGTACAAAGGAACAAACCTTTATAAAATTATAGAATGGGAGAATATATGGTATTTGCATGGAATAACTGCATAATTCCAATCCTAAGCTTTGTAATAAATATATAAGCTACATTGTTCTTATTAAGTGAATGTTAAAGATAAAAATTAATTTTTAATTAAGAACTTTAAAGAACACCAACAATAATCCCTAGAAAAAATAGAAGAAATAAATTACTCAAGACAAGGGGAAAAAAAGTGGAATCTAACACAAGCAAAAAAATAAAAAAAATAAGAGCTTGAGTTTCAAAGAGGACTAAGGGTGACAGAATTCTACCAAGATTAAGGAAAATTGTAAAGATAAATTAATCAAATTTGGAAATCCAAACAACAATGTATTTACCTGTGGAATTCTACATATATTTTACATTAGGAAATTACTTAACCTGTATAGTAGTCCCCTAAGCTTGATATCAAGAGGACATTCTTCTGTATAGATATTCTCTTTCCATATTAATCAACTCTTGGACTCACTCTTTTTTGGTCTTCATATTCTTTTGGAGACTTAGTGATTATGGTGTGAATTAGAAATTCAGACAGCATTAAAGTCTGTTGCAGTAGGCTGTTAAGAAAGAAGGAATTAGGTATGCTGGGTTCTATCTGGGAAACAGCTGTGTAATCCATTTCTCCAGAAGCCACATAAACGCAATCCTCATTTGGAATTTCTTTCTGTTTTTCCCGTTGCTGGTACCGAAATGGATTATTACCTTGATAGAATTAAGGTCTCCTGCTTGTCACTTCAGCAACAATGATATATACATGAGATAACACGGGCAGGTTGCATTTCTGGGCATGCCGAATTGGAAACAAGACAACTCACACAGTCATTCCCCTTCTCCTCCCAGGTGCTTATTTTTATATCATGACTTACAATTTTTCACATTCAGTTTCTTGTTGAATATCTTAAATCACCTGGATTACCCTTAAGACTTTTGGGCATACCAAATGCTCATGTGTGTACTTTGCTCTAGGGTCTGACCAAAAAGGGGTCAAAGGGAGAGTATCTTTTTTTTCTTATTTTTCAATGTGGTTTATTACTATTGTGCTTCCTGTTTTCACAGGCATTAGAAAACCTCAACTGGATGATATGCCTTTCCTAGAGGCAGAATCGGATGGGAAAACTGTAAAGCTACTAGGGAAAAGGAAAACCCTAAACAGAAGGAAGAGCTGGTGGTTCAAGAAACATGACAGTTGATTCAGACCCTGAATTAGTAGAAATAAGAGAAAAGATGTAATACAAAAAGATTATGCTGCATCTTGTCAATTTGCATAAAAAGGTTTCTTTATAGAAGAAACAAGTCATGATCTCATCAGTTTCTCACACCCCATTACCCTAGAACACTCATTTTAATCCTCCAATGCCATTCTATTGTTTGATTTTTATGTTTCTAATGAAATTCCCAGGTCCTCCTGCTCTGTTTTTTGGTGGTAAAGAGAGATATTGAAATGGTTGTGTCATATTTGACCCTACCTGTCATGTATCACCAGAAGCTCCGGCTCTGTGTTTATTATAACTTACTGATTTTTCAGCTAACATTGACTATATAAACCAGAGGAAAAATAATAGATCATGGTTGTCTGGATAAAACAAATTATGAGATTTAAGACTTATTAAGGGTAGTATAAACAGAACTTTCTGTTATACTAGATATAGAGGATGAA